CATGGTATTTCAGGCAGGACATGGGCAGACAATCGTTAACAGTATACAACAACTTTCAAACTCCCTTCTTCAATGGACTACCAAAATCAGAAAGCCACTATAAAACCCAATGAAGTCTTCATTTGATGCTCTGAACAGGGAAAGTTTAGAGTGAGGGTTGACATTTCACATTAGGCATGTTGTTTAACAACTTTTCACAAGCCGACCCTGACTTTCAGGAAATGAAATGAAAATGGCAGAATTATCAATCTGTAGACCCACAATCTAAAAAGGAAACCGCTGCTCTTTTGAGGGATGCCATCTCAGTGGTGACACTGGAAAGTCCAGATTGCCCAACATACTGGTAACCAATTTTTTGGGGGGTCAAGTCCCAACAGGTCTCTGGGCTTAAGGGAGTCAAGTCTATGCTTAAAGTGGAGAGGGAGAAAAGGACATAAAAATGAATTAGTTTTCCCACACCACAAGGTGTTTGTGCCAAGGTGGCTAATGTGTCAACATCAAGGGATCCCTCCTCCCAGGAGCCAAGAGGAAGCCTCTCAAAACTAGAAGGGAAAGGTGGTTTTTTCCCCATGTCAGTCCAGCTTTGGAGACATTCTGTAAGTACTGTATGTCCTTCCCCCCAAAAACAACAATGAAGTGTTCTGTGTGCTAACAACATAGCTTAAAAAAAAAAAAAAAAAGTAAAACAAAATTCTGCATTTTTATAAAACTTGATAAAAAATAGTATTTCAAACTGTACAGTCACCAGAAATACACAGTTATCAAAAATGCACACACTTCACTTGGCATCTCCAGCACCTTCAGCTTTCTGTGCCTAAAAGAAAAACGGACCAATTAATACAACGTGTAGTTTAAAACTACCTTCATTCACATTCCATCTATAACATTACTTTGCTCCTGGGCCAAAGTTCAGGTTTCAAGTACTTTGACACAGACACTCAGTACTTCTTTTAAGAATGGCTTGGTAGGAAACTTGGCTAAAATTGGGGAAGGGGACACCATGAGATCTGAGGTTATTTTCAGCTTGAAGGCTCTATGTATAGCATAAGTATATCAAACCTAACAGGAAAAGAGCAACACCACAGTGCCTTTTATCGAATGACAGAGACTTCAAGAGCCCAGGATTTAAGCTAGTATCACAAGCAAATTCTAGATTGAGTGACACACTTGGAATGATGCAGACACAGGAAAAAGGCAAGACAGACCCTTTGGGATCACTAAGTCAAATGAGCGGGCTTTAGAAAAAGTGGGAGCACTTGTACCTGGTCTGTTTTGGCATCTCCATTTTCTGCAGGGTTATTCCCATCCTTGCCAGCATCAGCTTTCCCCTTTTTCCCTTTGGGTACCTTCTCTCCCTTCTACAAGGTGGGAGAAAGGAAAAAAGTTGTTTCTCCAAATTTATATCACCAGTGTGTGGTCTACAAAGTTATGCACAAGGCAGGATTGTTTATTAAAGATAAAACACAAACTATACACCCTCTTCTAGCTGATAAAACAATTCATCAAAACAAAGCCAAATTATCTCTAATTTGCTGTGAGCAGCAGTATACAAAATTTTTATCTGAGTGTAAATAATAGGACAATAAGACAGTTTAAAACTTGGATGTTATAATATTCAAGTGCAGTTTTCTCTCAACTGGTGAGAGTTCTTGATATACAAATTTCAGAGATAAGGCAAGCTATCATAATAATTTAGAATACCCATTAATGGAGTCACCAGTATGCTTAATTAAGATACTGAAGGATGGTCCTCACTGTGAAAATGACAAATGAGAACATAAATTATAAGGCCCAGAGCTATTAACATTGTCATATCTCAATTCTGTGCCAAAGAGTGAAGTTGTTATATAGCAGGTCTCTTGTAAGAAACAAGGAACCCTGCTCAGTCTTATGTGACTCCAAGAAACACTCTGTGTCCCAGTCCTACTCACCTTTGCAGGGGCCTTTTTAGGCTTGGGCTCTGGCTTTGGAGGAGCAGGTTTCTTTTATTTGTAGGAGAGGGGAGAAAAGAACATTAGATGGACCAAAGAAAACACACACACATACAGCGCCAAATCACAGTACTGGTGACCCAGGAATTTTGCCTACTCTGTAAAGATTCTGCGGCTGACCGCCCATTAAAATTTCCTATCTTCAGAAAGGAACACTTAAGTAATACTCAGAAGTGGTCTACTTTAGCATTAGAATTTCAGAACCAGCGAATCTCAAACCCTCAAGTTCACAGTGGAGCAGTTCATTAAAACCAGCCACTGACCATCACTCACAGGAAGCAGAGGGGATTGTTTCTTAATGCTTTCTAGTCAGGAATATGTGTGGAAATTAAAAGCAGACACACTTACAGCCGATAACCTGGCGGATCTTCTCTGTGGCTATTAAGAAAAACGAGAAAGTTAGAAACAGGACAGTCAAACCATTTAAGAAAAACAAAACCACATGCTTTAGTGTCAATCTGTTCTAGACTACAGAAAAAGTGAACAGAACTTACTTAGGCAAATTCAGGGATAGGGTTATGGTTAATTACCACCAGAGGGACCCAAAGCTTTGTAAGACTCCAACAAGTAAGACTTACTTCGTCCTTCACCTTGGCTTTATCTCCTTTAGCATCCCCTTCAGCCTATTAAAAAAAACAAACAAAAACTAAGAAACCTGCAGCTCCTAAGGCTATTTGTAATGGTTCACGAAACTTAATACAACCCTAAGGAAAAACTAAAAGGAAGTCTCGCACCCAACTTCTCTAGGACACACACAAATCGTCAGTGTTTAGCACCTCCCACCTCCTATGCAAATACCCTAAGTGCTTAGAAACCTGTAGGAGTCCTTATTTGTATAATTATCAGGCTTCATCCATCCCAAAGCGCGCAGGGTGTCGGAACCCAAGCCTTTTCAGAGTCTCCGCCAAGAGGATCCGGGGGAGCGCGCTAAGCTGGAGAGGAGCGCCGCGAAGCCCTTGCCGCTGCACCAGGCAGCAGCAAAAGCAACAGCTGCAGCTGGTGCAAACAAACCCCTCCGGAGGCGGGGCCCAAGCGCCGTTGCTATGGCAGCCGTCGAGGGCGGGAGACGTGAGGCGCGCGCGCAGCCGGGGGAACTCGTGGGCGGCAGCGGCGCGAGTCTCGAGTGCCCTGGCCGTGGGCGGAGGCGGGGCCAGACAGCGAAGCCCCGCCCCTCACGGCGGCGGTTTTTTGGCGGCAGCGCGTTACCCCGCCCGCCAACCCCAAGCACCGCCTTCCCGCCCTTTCGGGTTTGAATTGCCCGCCCGCGGAGGGGGGGATGCCAATGGGGGAGGGGGCGCGGGGCGGGCACGTCTAGCCCGAGGGGAACGGGATAAACAGCCACCAACATGGCTCCTCCCGCCGCGGCCGCCGCTCCTCCAATATGGCCTCTGGCGCCCGCGGACAGCCGAGCCGCGCAGGGTTAGCTCGGGGCCGCCTGACACTGTCTCGAGTTCCTACGCCGGGCGGCAGAGCATGCTCCAGCCGAGCGCCGATTCTCGCGCCCCAAAGCCGGGGAAGCGGCGGTAGCGGTGGAGGCAGCCGGTAGTGGTGGCCCAGTGCCTGGGGCCCTCGCGCCACGTACCTTTCTCTTGGGCATGATGGCGACGGTGGCGGGACGTACGGGCTGGACGCGGGGATGCAGCAGCGCGTGGGCTTTGGCCGGTCCAGGGGTCGTTCTCGCCTCCTCTTCACACTGCTAGGGCTCCGGGGGGGTTTATAAAGTTTTTATAGCGCTGGGAGCCCCGGACCGGTTAGAACCGGATTTCACCTCCCGCCGCCGCTCATTGGCCCAGCTGGGGTCACGTGGGCGGGGTTTAAACTCACCTCCTCTGGAGGGAGTGAGGAGGGGGTATGGGGGGGAGGGCGAGCGAGACGGCGGCGCGCCTAGGGGGTGGGGGCGCAGTGGGGGGAGGCGCGTGTTGAAGGCAATAAATGAGGGGGGTGGGGTGTGGGAGTCCGCGGGCTCTGGGTTTCGGCTACCGCCAAGAGCCGGCTTTTGCAAACTACCAAGTTCCTTCCACCTTATGCAACCGAGCTACCCACTTCTCCAAGCCGTGCGACACTTAGAGCCATCTCGGCCGCTTTCCTTCCTGTTCCCACTGGGGGCCCCAGAAGAAGGGTTTGCGAGGCCTGGCCGCACCGCCTTTCTCCACCAGAGGCGGGAGAAAGCGCGCGGCTTGGAGGCATAGGCTGCAGTTGCCAAGGCCAAGGCTAACGCTTAAGTCGGGAAGAGCGGAGAAGCCAGCTTGGCGCAGCCGGACGTGCATCGTTCCAAGCTGCCACTCCGAGAAAGCTTTTCTTGCACCTCACCTGGAAGGCGGTCCACTCGAGATGGAGTGGGAGTTCGAGGGGGAGCCTTTACGCGCAGAGGTTACTTTCGGGTGCAGTGGGGCAGGTGGGAGCTGTCCTTTCAGCACCCGTTGCTCAGCCGCCTCCCCAAATATCAATGAAGACCCCCCCACCCCCCGCCAAAGCCCCGGGTAGCTTTCTGAGGTCCCTATATTCCCGGACCTCAGGAACCTGCCACTGAATGATGGAGATCTGCCGCCAGGCCTACCAGCACTCCCCTCCCCCCTACACTCCACCCGCTTCTGAGACATCAAGCTCAGCTGCCCCCACCCGACGCGGCCACCAAGCCTGGGCGCTGCAAACGCAGCTGGCGAAATCTCTCCTTCCACACTGGCAGACTGGCTTCCTTTCACTTGCGCGAGGGAAAGGAGGGTGGAGGAAATCGTCCAGGGATTAGGAAACAAGTAGAGAAACAGGTGTTGTGATGGCAAAAGGGCTCTTCCATTGGCTCTCCCCACCCCACACGCCCCCAAAGCTAGGGATCCTGGAGGTAGCCAGGTGCACCTGAAGGAGGTAGACAATCGCAGCAGCAAAACAAGATGTTCTCCCGTCGCACTGTTAGCAAACAAGTTTTATATCTGAGTGAAGTTTCTATTTGATACCCAGGAGAGCACGATAAATATCTTCAAGTGGGGGCTTGGCTCACAGGTGAGAAGTCACTTAAGTGGGTCCATCTAGTTTATTGAGGCAAGGGTTGAAGCCGGTTGGTACAAATCATACCAGTAGAAAGCAACCACACTGAGTTCAAATCAACTATTTGCAGCCCCCACTCCTGGGCAGCAGAGGCCCCTGAGCTTCTCCTTTTCACTTCTACAGTGCTTCTGAAGCAGCCCGTCCCCAATCGACCCTGCACACCTTCCTGAGAATACAGGACCTCAAGCCAAAGAGATACCAGCCCCCTTCATAACCCCTCTGCTGTACCCCAATCGTATTAAGGGAAACCCAGAACGCAGACAAGACTTGGTCATACTCACAGGGCAGATTCCGTGTGCTGCCTCCGGCCCCTCATTGCCATCTTAATTGTAGGGCTCTGCATTATAGTCCCATAATTCATGCCTCCCTAATTAAGGCTGTCAACAACTGCATTGTAAAGCTGGAAAATTTACAGCACCTGCTCTCTGGGAACCCTGTGCCAGGTGTGTGTGGGGGGCTTGCCAAAGGGTGCGTTGATCTGCTTCTCCATCGCGTCTGGCATTCAAGCCTGATTTTCTTGTGCCAGGGATCTAGCTAGGTCCAGGGAGGCGCGGAGGCGACTAGAGCATACTCAGCTTTGCTTGCAGGACCCCACCCTCCATCAAAGGGAGGCGCTGGGGGAAAGTTTTCAGATAGTAAAATGGGAAAACTAGAAGTAGCCACTGGTTGGTATTACTGGCTGGTGCTTGCTGCTCTGGGACACCTGAAGCAGAGTTGTTCAGGCAAATAGCTCTTCAAAGGCACTAATCCTCTCAGCAACTCTGCAGTGAGGCCTAGTGGGGAGAAGTTAAGGGAAAGGACACAGCCCTTGACTGGACCCTCTTCCTGCTGGGCAGCCCTGGCCCTCACAAGCTGAGAGACATGCTGAGGATAAATTGTCTCAGGGCCTACTTAAGGGTCCAGGCCAAAAAAGCTGGGAGAAGCCTCAAAGACTGAGGAGGTGGGAGGCAGAGTATGAGATGGTGAGGGCAGGAGGCATTCAGTTGGAAAGTACTTCTGTGTTCTTGGTCCTGATGTGTTCCAGGGAAGGAGGCATGTGCTGGACTAGATTCACCACGGCCTGTAGGCCCTTCTGTTACCCTGGAGCCATGGAGGGGGCCTGCCTCACTGGGGAGTGGAGCCTGGCCCCATGCCCTGCAAGAGGAGGATGAAAGCTTGTGTGGGCTGAGTCGACAATATGTAATTGGATTGTAATCACCCGCCTGGCTTCTGCGCCACTGGGGGCGCTGAGCCTTTCAGTGAGCAATCAGCGCTGCATGGTGGGAGGGGGTAGAGATTCAATAGCAAATCCCAGGTGGAGAGCCGAGGGGAGGGGGATCAGCAGATGGGCAAATTTTCTTTCTGTCTCTCCCTCTCCTTCCTTGCCCAAATGACGCTGGCTGCCTATTAGCTATTTCCCAGCAGATCCGAGGTGGAGCCAGATCTTTTGTGAAAATCACATGGAAGGCTAAGAAGGATGGGTAAAGGGTGAGGGTTTTGGGAGACTTCTCCCTCACAATTTTGTCAAAGGATGTGCTGGTGGAAAAAGCAGTGCATCTGGAAGCACAGGCAGAGACGGCAAAGGTGAAAGGAGAGGCAGCAGAAGAGCTGGGGCTCCCTGCTCTCCAAACCTATCGACGGCCAGAGCTGTGTTTAGGGTACTTGTGGGAGACTTTCACCCTCAATCTTCCCAAGGGACCACTGTCCCAGGCAACCCACAGGTATCTATGGCCAGCATAAACTGGCCTCTGGGGCTCCCCCCACAAGCAAAGGGAACATGACTCATCATCAGGAGGGAGGTACCCTTCAAGAAAAGAAAGGGGAGTGGGGCCCTGGAGGCAGAGGGCAGGGCAAAGTAGCAGGAGGCCAGCCTCACTCAGGCTGATGCAGTGCCCAGTCGTGCCAGCCAGTCAGCCCGCTTGACTTCCAAGGCCTGCAGGAAGCCTTGGACTCGCTCTTCCCGTCTGGCTGAGAGTTTGTGCAAGCGTGTCCGTCGGAGCTGGGCGTCCCCACTGGCCTGGAGCCCCTCTCGCAGCAGCTGCTCTGTCACTGCAGCCTGGTCCCTCTCCAGCTGCTGCCTCTTCCGCTCCTCTGCATACATGTCTCGGGCCTTCTGCTAAAGAAAAGTGGGGGTTGGGGGAGATCACTGGGTGTGGTTGGTACTGGGATGGAGGAGGTAGGGGGCGGGGTATAGGCAAGGGCAAGTGAATAGTGGGGAGCTTGTACCAGATTTGGAAAGGCTTGGTAGCAGGTGTGTGATGGGTGGTGCCCATGTTGTACAGAGAGGGCAGTGGAAGTTTTGGGTCTAACTTGGTTTGTTTTGTGTAGAAGCATCTGTCTTGAAATTCTGAGGTTTGCACTTAGAAGGGAACCAGCGAATATGAATCTGACTTCTGGTTCCTCCAACTAGCTTTATAGCTTTGGGCAAAACCTCTCCTAACTTCATTTCTTCATCTGTAAAGTGAGGACAAGTTGTGCCTAGTTTGAAGAGTGGTTTTAAGGATTAGAGATAATACTATATATGTAAAACCCTCTTTAGCATATTAGCAGACTCTCAAACAGACTGCAGTTTTACAAATTATTACTCTCTATTCTGTGCTGCAAGGAAGGTTCTATTTCCTGCCTGGGGCACATCCATGGTGTCATTTACTTTGGTTTTCCAGGTCACCCTAAGGGTGCTATCCTCCCAACTCTTGAAGCTATTTTTCAGAGTTGGACTCCAGACTTGCCTCCCTTATGGAAACCAGCCTGCCTCTCCCAGCAAATGACGCTTCTGTGAACACTGTAAGAAGCAGGTTCAGCACTCATAAGCCAATTATTACGTTCTGCCTAGTAGGCTAGGTATTAATGTCCATAGTTCAAAGTCTACTTTTTCAGTTAGAAAATAAGCCCTTGAAGGCTCCATTGAAACCCCCAAAGCTCCTGGAACTTGCTCTGACACCAGGTACGTGATCATACTCCCTGGCAGCGCTACTAATACCCTGTGTGTGTCTCCAGACAAACCATAAACTCCTACAGGGCAGAGACTGTGGGTTTTCCTCTGGCACTTGCGGTACCCCGTGTGTGTGAAATACTCAATTGACTGACCATGTGATCCCTGCCACTCTAACTGGCTGCTGAGCCATTGCACCAGAGCTCCTCCTGACAAACCCGCTCCACGAATGAGAAACTGCTTTGCTGCCCACTTGACATCTATACCCTGATGACCCTTACTTACCACCTAATTCCACCTTATATTACAGTATTTGTGTACATGTCTCTGTCCTACTCAGCCTGTAAACACCTGGATAGCTCTGTTTATCCCTGAAGGAAAACCTTCCAAGTGCACAAGCACCTGACCTTTGCAATAGAGCTAGGAAGGTCCTTCCTGTTGGAGATAGCCATGGAGGTTGAGAATAACGACATGATTTGCTACGTCTCTCAGCAATAAAGGCTTATTGCATAAATGAAAATTTTGTAATATTTCCCCTCTAGGCATTCAAGGGTACTCTCCTGCTATGATAATGAGTGCACACATGGAGCTATGAAGATTTAAGTGGACATAAGAAGTTGCCTTGGTCAGGAGGAACCCTGCGTCCTATGTACAGGACCTTACTGGGGGATACAGAGATACTCAGGATACAGTCTAAGCAACTCACATGCTTAAAGGCTGATTAGGACACAGATCTCTTCGCAAAGTCCCATAATATAAGGTAGAATGTGGTAAGGGTCACCACAGAGGCAAGAGAAATGGCCATGCAGCCGAGAGGAGAGAAAAATTATGGCTATGAGGGTCAAGGAGCAGTGAAACCTCATGGACGGCCAATATTTGAGCAGGGCTTTAACCAATGGGGAGAAACTGGATAAAGGCGGGGTGCATGGGAGGGGGTAGAATATCAGGTAATGGGAATAATGGACAAAGGCACGTGAAATTGATTGAAGAGCTTGATCAGGCCAGCATGACCCTCCTGGAACACTGGGGATCTAGAAGCTCCTCTCCAAAGGACTCTCACCTCTCTAAGCCTCATTCATTTTTTTTTTTTTTTTTTTTAAATTAAGAGTGTATTTGAGCCAAACTGATGACATATGCTGGGAGCAGGAACTCAAATGCCTCAGCCTAATTCTTAATTTGCAAAATAGGGGATAACAGTATCCACCTCAATGGGTTAGCTATTCTTCAATCAGCACTGCTTGTGGCTATCACCAAATACGCTATGTTCTGGCAGGACAGAAAGGATGGGGCCACCCAGCCACACAGGGAGGAAACACAGAGCTAGTTAAAGTCACTCATGAAGCTAAGGGTTCTTCCAGAAGTGCCAGGCAAGGAGGCTGCAACAAAGGCAGAGCTTAGTCCCTATTTGCCAGGAATTGGCAACTCACCGGGAGTATGATGGAGGGGAGATCATAAAGGCCATCTGCTCTAGCCTCTTTAGGTTAGACAAGGACACCTGAAGCTAAGGCAGGAGGCAGGAAGGGACCTGGACTAGGACACATAGTGGGCTGAAGTTCCCTTGGTGTCTCCACTAAGGTGGCTTCTTGAGAAGGATTAAATAAGAAAACTTACATGAAAACACTGAAGTGCTTTAGTAGACCCTCAATATTAGCTGCTACTATCACACACACCATTATTATTATCTGTCCTAATCAGATGAAGGTGACTTTGCCTCCTAATGAAACCTACTTCAAGATCTGGTGATCAACATTAATACCTTCAGGGAATAATGGCCAATCTCCCTAACGATCCTTTCCTGGGTTTCCGTAGTAAAAAGATTAAAGACTTGTAACTTGAACCCCAGTTCTCTCTCTCTTACTAGTTGTGTCCTTAATTAAATAATTTTGTTGATTTGCACAAGTGGGGCTAAAAATATCTACCTCATTGGGTTCTTGGGAACATTAAATGAGATAGTGCATATAAAATATTCACAGTGCCTGACACATGGTAAATACACAGCTACTATCATCATTATTAACATACTTATTAGCAAGTGTCTGGTATATATACAGTAGATGGTCAGTCAGTGCTCTCACCTTTTCTTCCATCCCATCCAGTCAGGCCAGCACTGAGGCATGCTATGGTTCATCTAGAACCATCCCTGATGAATGTTATGGTTCACCTGGAACTAACCTGAAGCATGCTATGGTTCATCTGGAACTGCAGGATGGCTTCACAGAGGTTCCAAAACATGTATTCTGGCCACAGAATAGGCTGGAACACCAGGCAGGAGTGGGAGGTCTGGGAAAGGGGAGGAGGAAGAGAGTTTAGTTTAGTAACACGTTGCTGGACACATCCCTGGGCGAAGTTCCAAAGAAGGATCTGGCTGAGCAGGACCCAGAAACCCAAAGATGAGATCACCCAGACATCCTGAGCTGCAGCTGCTGCCACCGGTCCTGAGTCGCTCAGTAATATGGGGAGGGGTCTTCTGAGGGAGTTAGATCATCTGCCTATAGCAAGGCAAAACTAAAACAAGACTAGACCAACATTTCCACCAGGATTTTACTGAGAGCCAAATTTAGGGCTATGAAATAACATCTGGATTATGTTATTGGCTCTTGGCCCTTAGAGGTCATCTGGGAGACACACTGTCTGATAAAAGTCAGCAATGAACAAATGGTAGCTGCCATTGTTATTTTTAAGTAGCAGAATGTCGCACAGTGGTTAAGAGCGTGGGCTCTGGGGCCAGACTGCCTGGCTTTGAATTCTGGCCCCGCCATTTACCATGTATTTGACCTGCGGCAAGTTACTTAATCTCTCTGGGCCTCAGTTCCTCAATTGTAAAACTGGGAAATAAAAACACCTAGTTTTTAAAGTATTATAAAAATTTAATAAGTTAATGTTCATAAAGCAGTCAGAGCACAGAGTTGGGTGAACTTTACCAATAACCACTTGTGGGCTCTCTCTAAAGTATGCCCACACCTTCCTCTTCCCTCTCAGGCATGTGTCTTTACTTTCTCTCCTAAATTCTAAGGGTCTCTAGGAGACCTGCAACCAGGGGAGCAATGGGAAGTGGCAGCTTGTTCCGGGGTTACCCCGTGAACCTGTTTCAAAGGCCTCCTTTTCTTTGAATTCTTTCAGTGAGCTAACAGCAACCCTACTTTGGCTCATTTCTTTCCTATAACATTTCTAGAGAGCCAAAGCAGAGCACTGCCTCGCCTGTCCCCTGTTGCTCCCTGCTGCTGTCCCCTTCGTTTGTTTCACTGTCCCCAGCTTTAATAAATATAATCTCAATATAAAAAAATAATAAAAATAGCCACTGATGTGAGATTCCCTTTAGAATATTCTTGGCAGCCACTGTTGGATACCTTTAGGGGAAAGGGAGGAATTCAGTGCCTCAACGAGGATAACTCTGGTTGCTGGATAGCTTGTTATGGTAAAGCAATGTCACCTTCCCTGGAACTTCTACCATGGCCTCAGGTATTTTCTCTGGAATAAGTTTGTTTCTTCCTCAAAGTGACATTCTTTCAAATGAAGGCTAGATCAGAGCAGCCTGTTATCTGTTGCCAAGACTGTAATGACTTGTTCACTTTGTCTTTGCCAACAAACTCTGAATTTTATGACAGTAGGGATTATTCCTGACTCAGTCATTGCTATATTCCCAGGACAAAGGAGGAGCTCAATTATTTTTGCCCAAGGGAAAAAACTGTTACTATGCCTCCCTTTTCCAGAACACTATCCTTCACTCATTCCTTATAAGGTGTGAGTTCCAGATTCCTTGCCATCCAGGTTGGCCTCTTCTGTTAAGTCCTCTAGTTTACCATGTAGTAGTCTCTTAAAACTCAGTGTCCAGAAATAAACTTTCCAGACATGACATGACCAGCAGAGTCAGTCACAGAACCATAAGATGCACATTATATTTCTTTCAATATAGCCAAATACTGAAAGTACATTTAGTAGTACATTAAATCTTGTTAGTTCACTTTTAAGACTAGGGTCCATTAAAATTTCTAGAACTGTATCAAGTGAATTGCTTCCAAGCTGAATCTTTCCCTCCAACCTCTCCTTGAACAAAGACTTGCGCCTGTTGTGTGAACAACAGGGGCCAAGTTAACAGGTGATAGAGACTTTCAATCAAAGACAAACTCACTTGACTATGACTTTTTGGGGGACTGCCTGCACTGGAGGAACTGAGCTGAGAGACGATGGCTGCTAAGAAAGAGTTTGTACTGAGTTTATATCCCTTGTGGACTGTGCTTACATAGATGGAACCCTTTATTCTTAGGGACAGAGACTAATAATTGCAAAGCAAGCTTCTAGCCAAGAGGGGTTGGGGTACATGGCAGGGTACCTGGCAGATTACTAGGGCAGGAGATTATACTTAGGAACAAAAGTCAGAAGTCCAGTTCCTTGAACAAGGGCACAAGTGATGTTTTCGTCACAGCTGGATAGCCTTGATATTTTTTTTTTCCTCTAGGAACTTTTTTAAAAAAATTAATTTATTTTTCCAAATACATTTGTTTCTGCCTTCCTCCTCCTCTAGGAACTTTAGAGAGCAAGAACCGCATGTTCACATAGCCAGGGAGAGATGAGAAAGGGATAGAAAATGTTACCAGCCACAGCCTAGAGACATTTTGGGTCTCTTCCTGCACAAGATTCTCTGGTGCCAGCATAGCTGGGAGTGAGGATGAGCCCCTCTCATCCATTCTGTGGGTGCAGCAGCAGTTTTCAACTGACACAAACAGAGCAGTGGTTCAAAACTACCTACCTGCCAGAGCAGAAAGTCGCTGAGCCTGACTTCTCCAGAAGTCCGTATTAAGATGTCAGGATTAGGAGAGTGGTAGGTATAGAGGCACTTGTCAAGCAGAGACTCAGAGACATCGCTAAGGTGAGTGGGGAAGAGACAAAGACAAGCACACATCTCTTTTTAGTTTGTTCTCATGGTCCACTTCCTTACATAAGGCTTCCCAGATTATAGAATACCATCAAATGTATTTGTAAATACTACTTGGTACACAAAGGCCCTCAACAAATGTTTGATAAATTAATTAATGTTTTTAATCCTCACAACTACATAAGATATTTCTGTTTTCACTTTATAGATAAGGAAACTGAGGCTCAAAGAAGATGATTAGTTAGCCAAAAGTCTAAATAGCCTCCGGCCTAGAACCAGACAGACCCACTAGAATGTGTTGCTCTTCACTTAAAACATCTTGTTCTTTAAAATGCATATGCCTCATGACCCTGCAATTTGGTGAAATACTATGTAACTGTTTTCAATAGAGATAAATCTAAATGCATTGATTGGAGAGATTTCTAAATTTAATATTAGATGAGAAAAGCAAGTTTCAGAAAAAATACAGCATGGGAAGTACATACTCAAATATTCATGCATGTGATATATGTATATATAAACAAAGAATAAAGTCTAGAAAGGCACATGCCATACTATCAACAGTAATTACCTTTGGAAGATTGGCTAAGGAAGGAAAGATGATCTTTCTTTACTTTATGTACCTTTGTTGTTACTTGAATTTGTTACTTGAATACAGAGAACATTTTTTAAAACCTTAAATTTAAGTCATATGGACCTTGAAACACTGCAAAAAAATCCATATTACTTAGGATGTGGAAAAAGAAGAAAGAAAAAACCAGCAAAATGACCAGCCATCCTGTGTTTTATTAGAGCTCCTTTCCCAGACAGACACTTAGGAGGAAGGTGGAATAAAGCAGAATGGGAACTGGCACCATTTATCTTACGTAAAACTTTGTGTCCCAGGAAAGAGAATATTTGCAAGCCTGGTGTTAGTTGGTTCCAAGAACACTGTTTACTTTCCCTTCCAAGTACCCAGAGGCAGAATTTGAAATCTTCGAGAGTTGCATCTTGTGAAGGCAAAATTTGCATCTCTAGAAGATGAAATTTCTTGGTAGAACACTGTTCTGGGAATATAGTTTAAAAAAAGCAGGGAGATCTAGGCTGAGGGTTCAAAACAAGATTCTATACTTACTAGCTGTGTGCCTGTGGTTAAGTTACTCCATCTCTCAGTCATTTTTTTGCAAACTACAGAGGGAGCTTTATTTTCTGTACCATCACATGGGAAACAATATTCACTTATGACTAGGCAATCAAAGGGCTCTGGTTCAGATTTCCCTGATAATCTGACAGTCTGTCCTGGCAGCATAGTCTTAATTCTCGAAGAAATCCGAGACTCAGTCATGGCTGGTGTGGCTCAGTGGATGGAGCGCTGCCCTGTGAACCCAAGAGTTGCCTGTTCAATTCCTAGTCAGGGCACATGCCTGGGTAGTGGGCCAGGTCCCCAGTTGGGGGTGTGCAAGAGGCAACTGATCAATGTATCTCTCACATAGTGATGTTTCTCTCCCTCTCTTTTCCCTCCCTTCCCTCTCTCTAAAAATAAATAAAATCTCAAAAAGTGAGACTCTGTACAAACAACATAATTTCTCAGCTCTCTTATCTTTGAAATGGGCACATTTATCCTATCTACTTATAGGTTGTTGTGAGGGTCAAATTGAATGAATAACAGATTTGAGTAACCTTGGGAACTATAAAGTGCTATATAAATAAAAAATAAACATTATTTCCAGTCCCATCAATTTTCTGTGTGACTTTGGATTCCCATTTAACCTCTATGAATTTCAAATGTGCCAGACAGTGAGCAGAATTCTATCGAAACAATGGTAACTCTAAGGGCGGGGCGGGGGGGGGGAAGAAAACTGACAAAATGAAAATAGGACATCTGTGATTTGGCCAACAAAAATCCACCACTAAAGAGCCTTAGCTGTCTGCATAGAGACTTTTAAGAAATAATTTCTATTAAATAAAAGTGAAATACCAATTTCGCCTGTAAGATTAGAATAGTTTACATTTTAAAAAATCTTGGCAAGAATAAGGTGAAATGAACACATCCAGACCCAGATCTTGAGGAAACAATCCAAAAGGTAGACAAGAGTTAAGTTCATAGATTTAATTTTAGCATTATTTGTAATAATGAGAAATTCGAAACAACCCGCACAACCAACAAATAGCTGAATGCTTAAGTAAATTGGAGCAAGAAATACTCTGTAGCCATTAAAAATAGCATGAACAAATTAAAAACACAGAACATGGAGCCTTGACCAGTGTGGCTGAGCTGATTGGTTGTTGTCCCACAAAGCGAAAGGTCGCTGGTTAGATTCCCAGTAGGGTACATGCCTAGGCTGCAGATTCCGTCCCTGGTTGGGGTGAGAGGTAACCTTGCGATGTTTCTTTCACATACTGATGTTTCTCTCCCTCTCTTTCTCGCTCCCTTCCCCTCTCTCTAGAAATAAATATATAAGATCTTAAAAACAAAACAAAAAAGATTTTATTTATTTTTAGAGAGAGAGGAAGGGAGGAAGAAAGAGAGGGAGAGAAACATCAACATGTGGTTGCCTCTCACGCACCCCAAAATGGGGACCTGGCCCGCAACCCAGCCATGTGCACTGACCAGGAATCAACCCAGTGATCTTTCAGTTCTCATGCCAGCACTCAATCCACTGAGCCACAAAAGCCAGGGCTAAATAAAATCTTAAAAAAAAAACAAAACCCAAAAACAGGACATGGAAAAGCGTTCATATTACAACATTAGGTCAACGAGCATGATTCTGGTTATAAACTGTTCACCATGTGATTTCTTCTGTTTTGTCATAATTAGGTTTGTGTTTAAAAAGATGACTCTGGCTGAACTCCCAATCATGGCTCATCACTAGTTTTGTCACAGTATTTTGTTTGGGATAATGAAAATGTACTGGAAATAGTTGTGATGATTATACAACACTGTGAATATAGTTAATGCCACTTAATTGTATGCTTAAAAATTGTTACACTATGCCCTGGGTGGGTACTTTAGTTGGTTAGAGCATCATCCCGATATGTCAAGGGTGTGGTGGTCAGGGCACATACAAGAATCAACCAATGCATGCATAAATAAGTGAAACAACAATTCGATGTTTCCCTTTCTCACTCTCTCTTCCTTCCTTGTCTCTCTAAAAATCAATTTTTAAAAATTTGAAAACCATTGTTAAGATAGTGAAATGTATATCTTTTCACAATTTTTTAAAAAGTAGAACATATTCTGGAAAAATATGGGCACGTGTATTCATCAAGATAATGGCTCCTACCTAATAAATTACGTGTTTTAAGAAATGCCCATTGTAAGAAAAACCAGTGTAAAACCTATAATGGAAATATGGCAACAGCCTCTGGAAGGGAGACCTGGTAACAATGACTATTAACAAGACAGTGAATGGCCTAGCATCAGGAAAAAGGAAGAGTAAGAATGTGTTAGTGTGTTCCCAATACTATTTCAGAAAGGTAGATCCTTTCTAGAAGGTACAAAGATATAGGAAATGCTCCCTGTGATAACAACATAGTACATTTTTGTGGCATTTAGTTTATAAAGATGGTGAAAAACAGACTTTGGAGGTAAACAGACCTGAGCTGGAGTCCAGGCTGTTCCATGTTGTTATTAGCATACACTGTAGGGTAAGTTACTTTGGGTAAGTCAACGAACCTTATTAAAACATTAGTTAACTGATCTTATAAAATGGGGCGAATAGTCACTCCCTTATATGAAAATCAAATAAGAATATGTGTGGTAAACATTTAGCTTAGTGCCTGCCTCATAGTAAGATCCAATAAATACTAGTAACTTATTTTTATATTGTGTCATTGTTCATTTCAACCATCCTATGTGAGACTCAGTACACCATAGTGAGTAAGAGAGCAAGCCTCTGGAGCCAGGTTGAAATCCTGGCCCCAAGCTTTGTCAACCATGTGAACTTGAACAAGTTACTTAACTTCCCTGTGTCTCCCTATTTCATCCTTAAAAACAGTTTTTACCTCATAGCCTCTAAGGAGTGAATGAACTAACATATGTGGAGTACTTGCTAGATGCCTGGCAAAGAGTAAATGCTCAGTAAATGTTAGCAATTATTAGTATTAACATTCTTAAGAGGAAGATAGACATCTACGGAGGGGTCAAGTGACCTGCTCAAGATAACTCAGTGAAAAAGAGTTTATTAACTATTCTTTATATCAATAATAAGCCTAATCCCTTTTCTATAATTCCAGACTCAAAACACAACCTAACATTAATATGATAGAAAAAAATATATCTGGAAGGAAAATGAGGAGTTGGATGGTGGTAATGAGAGAATACAAAAATTACAGCTATTGGGAGGGTTGAGCCTAAATGTAATTAAATCACTGACTCTCTGTTATAAATGCAGATTTGTCTCAATTTGAATAATATGAAGAGCACAGCCTCAGGACTTGAATAACCCAGCCTGAGCAGAACACCAAGCTTCCTGAGCTCAGGGGTGGAGACATCAGCCTCCTTACGCTGGTGACCCAGCCCAGCCCATACCACATCTGCATGACTAACCCCACGTAGGCAATGTACTAAACCATGCAGGGCAGAGAAAATAGATACAGGAAAACAGGCTGGACAAGGAGCAGAAAGAAGATAAAGGTCTGCATCTCCCTCTCAAGGAGCATGCCCATGCCTTTCCCTTACTCTTGTTCTTCCCTCTCGGGCGCATGACCTTTGCCCTGCACTCTCCTAAGCTCCAAGGACCCTTCTTTTGCCTCTGTAATTTCTTTCCTGAGCCTATGCAACCCAGCTAGCTCACTTCTTCTACATTTGAAATAAACTTTGTTATAATTTTTTTAAAAAAAGATAACAGTCGCCCTGGCTGATGTGGCTCAGTGGATTTGAATGCCAGCCTGTGAACCGAAAGGTCGCCGGTTCAATTCCCAGTCAGGGCACATGTCTGGGTTGCATGCGAGGTCTCCACTTGGGAGTGTATGAGAGGCAATCGATCAATATATCTCTCACACACTGATGTTTGTCTCCTTCTCTTTCTCTCTCCCTTCCCCCCTCTAAAAGTAAATAAATAAAATCCTTACAAAAATAAAATACAAAAATAAAAAAGGTAAAAGTCAGTGGTTGTTGGAATGTGGTATGAGTATAAAGTATGCTGAACTAGGAGTCAAGATCAGAGTTCTAGTCCTAGCATCAATGCATATTACATCTATTTGCTAAATAGCTTTCTTTCTAGCATAAATGTTTGTCCCTATTTTTTAATATATCTCTTATTATTTTTAATACACAGTTGATGGATTCCACATATAAGTAGACCTGCACAACCCTGTTCAAGGGTCAACTGTATTTCCCATCCATGGTTAGGAATCCAAGGTTGCAGAGGGCCAACTGTAGCCGTGTGTGGACTCTCAACTATGTGGGCAGTAGATGCCCCTAACCCTCACACTGTTCAAGGATCGACTGTATTATTTCATTCATACAAAAGACTATATGAAACATTAATTATAAAGCACCATATTGTAATGAACAATTATGAAATGACCCCCAAGCCAAGAATTAGAAAAGTTACCAATAACTTGTTTTTACTTATACAACCTTTATCTACTTACATATTTCATCTTCCTGCCTGGTCCCCACCCTGCCAAGTTACTCAGTATCTCAATTTTCCCCCCAATAGTTAATTTTCAATCCACATCTTAATTTACCTCCTTACAGCATTTGATAGTGTGTTGTTCCCACTTGTGCCCATGTCCCTCCTGACCCACAAAAAGAAATTCTCTATTTTCTTGGCTTCTGTAATATAGATTGCCTCATTTTCTCTCTACCTTTCTGGTTGTTCATTCTTTTTTCCTTAAGGCTCATTCTCCTCTACCCAGCTAGTGAAACTTAAAGAGAGTCTCAAGCCCTGGCTGGTGTGGTTCAGCAGACTGAGTGTCAGCCTGCGAACCAAAAGATCATTGGTTCAGTTTTTGGTCTGGGCACATGCCTGGGTTGCGGGCCAGTGCAAGAGGCAACCAACTGATGCTTCTCTTGAACACTGATGTTTCTCTCTCTCTCTTTTTCCCTTCCTTCCCCTCTCTCCGAGAATAAATAAATAAAACCTTAAAAAAGTTTTTCAAAACTCCATCCTAGGCTCTCTGTCTCTCTGTAGACTCTCCTTAGCTTCCTCAAGCCCTCTCTTTGCCTCAGTACCACATACACAGACGATCTCAACTGCCAACCCGACATCTATATCTAGATATATATCTATAGAGATATATCTATATCTATAGATATATCTCTATAGATATAGATATAGTTCAGTATCTATAGCATATCCCAAACCAAGGCCCTGACCTTCCTCAAACTGGATCCTTTCTCAAGGATCCACAGTGAAGGGCACCATCATCCACTGTTTCATACGCCCAAAACCATTAACACATCCTTTTTCCTTGTAGCTCTCCATGTCATTTATTCTTATCTATTCCATCATCACCACCACCACAATCCAAGCTCCCTTCCAGGTATTTTGTACTTAAATTATCACAAAAACCTTCCAACAGTCTTTCTGCAACCAACAAGCTGCTCACATGATTGCCTTTTTCCCCAGTTACTGCTTAATCTTCCTTCTTAGATCACTTATCATTCCTTGGGGGTGTCCTCCCTTCCAGGTCTATTTCTCCTATAAATTCTTGTACCACGCACCAATGCCTTTATAGAATTTATCACCATTATAATATTACACTAATTTGTATAATCTTGATTAACATCTGTTTCCCTTATGAGACCTCCACAAGAGCAGGAAATATATATTTTTATTCTTATAACTCTATCCTCTGTGTACAGTAATGTGCCTGATCTTTACTTGGCACTTAAAAGATATTTGTTGAATGAATAAGTAATTGACTGAATGAATCAACTATGTGACACAGAAAGATCACCTAGCTGTTGGAAAAGACAAGGATTCATAAAATAGCCTTAAAAATGTTTTCCTTTCCTTCTTATCTAATTCTGTTCTCACTGAGCAACTTCTTGATTTTTAATTTCATTTCCCAGGTAAATCAAATTATACCTGAGAAGGGAATCACAAAAATTCCTGGCTTCGAAGATCCTGTATAACAGAGGTAAAGGACAAGAAGTCTGGAATCAGACAGTTTTAGATAAGAGTCCCAGCTCTGGCACTTACTGGCAGAATGAAGTTACCTTGAGAAAGTAACTTCAATGCTGAGCTCAATTTTCTCATCTATGAAATGGAGAAGATTCTCACACATGAGATTAATGACAATAAAATACAAAATATAACACATTGCCTGGATTACTTTTTGCTACTATTACTTTATTATTGCTCTTATTGGCTTACCAGTATTATTACCAAAGGTTACAATAATAATATGACAGGAACTGAGTAGACAGATGGCTTCTAAAGTCTCTCCCAGCTCTATTAGGATTCCATTATGTTGTTAATGATGAACAATTTTCATTTTGAAAAATACCTGAATCTTATATAAAACTGTAACATAGGAAACCTAAAGGGCTATATACCCAATGAACGCATTCCTGAAAAATATTCTTTTTTTAAAAGATTTTATTTATTTATTTTTAGAGTGGGGGAAGGGAGGGAGAGAAACATCGATGTGAGAAACATCAATCAGTTGCCTCTCGCACACCCGCAACTGGGCACCTGGCCTGCAACCCAGGCATGTGCCTTGACCAGGAATCAAACCAGTCACCTTTTGGTTTGTGTTAGGATGCCCAACACACTGAGCCACACCAGTAAGGGCCTGAAAAACATTCTTGAAAAAACAGTGCCAAAGGGCCAAGAGGGTATCATCTTTTTATTGAAAACTACAGAGTTGCTACCTGTTACGTCATTTTTCTGGGGCTTCTTGGTGTGCAGTGAACACAGAGAAATTCTAAAAAAGGCTATAGTGAGCCAATCCTAAGCTCTTAAGTGTGGGTGATCCCCCGTCCCCTCAAATCTTTCCACATGCATGCCTGATTTGACTTCTGACCCAAGTACCTGGCTTAGGAGGGATTTTGTGGTTTGGGGCATGCCTGTGCCTATTTTCCCTATCAGCTACCAACTAGGGATACCTGGGGTCCAGCAGGCCCTGCTCCACTCCCCAGGCCATCTCTCTCACAGCGTTGCTGATCTCATGACGGGACGTGTATGCAAAACAGACATTCAGGAAACACCTGAGAAGGAAGAACAGAATTATTTACCAAAGAAGGGCAGGAACTAAGAATTGGAACCACTCATTCCAGAGCACCCTGTCCCTGGAAGAAAACACACAACAAATGTTAGCCACAGACACTCTGAAAAGTCAGATTTTGAATTTCTTGTGTTTTCCAAGTTTTCTTGGAATAACCATGTTACTAATTTTGTAATAAGACAAGTACTAAATGACTCTTATTACCCTTCCAATCCTCTCCCCTTCTACTACCAACCAGCTTTCAGAGGAAAGTTGTGATATTAGCACAAAGGAGAACAGAAAGGAAATCTGATGCAAAACAAATCCATTGCCAAACATACACTATATTCCAAAGCCACACAAAATGAAGTTTGGATTATTGAACTCTGTTCCCCTTTGCATCTGCACCACCTCCCAAGTTCATCCTACCTGTGGTTAAAGGAGTGGGACAGAAAGAGAGTTTCTTGAAGGAACTGTCTTCAGAGGCAGGAGTAAGTAAGGCCTGTTGCATTCCCACCCCATCCCTTGGTGGGGGTGTTGAGGTACATGAAATGAAGAGGGAAGATGAGAAACTGTACATGTTGGATACATACACATATAACATGGTACTGCAGAGCCACCTCTGGTCTGCCCTGAAGATGGAGGAGGTCTCTAAGCATCCCAAACCACACCCTCATTGCCTTGGTACCAAGTGCAGACTAAGAATGTCTCCCTAAAGCTAGCAGGGACGCAAAGGTTGATACAGGTCCCCAAGGGGAAATCTGAAGACTTACTGGTTGTAGTTCTTGGTGGCCTGCACAGCTTGTGCAATCAGCTCCTGGAGATCCAAGGGCAACAAATGCAGATCACCCAGGACCCGGATACATACCCCGTGCTTCTGCAGTTTCTCCCTGATTGGGGAAAAGGAAGCAGGGTTGGGACACAGCACCTGATGAGCTGGAGAGAGCAGGGTGCTTAGATGATACTCAATTATCAGTTTTTGAGTGTTTTCCTGTGTGTCAGGCACTGTCCTACCTGTATTATTTCACTGCATCCCCTCAACAATTCTGAAAGGAGTTCACCACATTCCCCATTCTACGGTGGGAAACTAAGGCTCAGATAGGGTGGTCAGGCATGGCTTGGCCAAGATCACACAGACATCGAGTGCTACGTCAAGACTGAAACCCAAGTCTGATTTGAAAATCCAAACTCTTTACTACACATGACACCACCTCATGTGTTCTTGTCAGCAAGTTTTACATATTCTGTGCTATATTTGTCCCATTGACAGCATGTGAATAAGAATACCTAGATTCAAGTTCTAGTGCCACTACTTTCTAGCTGACGTTGCATAACCAGTTAGCCTCCCTGGGCCTATGTTTCCCTCACACTGTAGACCAGGGTAACCACCCCTGCCATACTCGCTGCATTGGCTTGTGTTGAATGAGAAAAAGTACGTGAATGTGCTTATTCTCAGGCATCAGGTGCATGGCTTGAGTGAAGTTTGTAAAGTAGAAGTCACTTCACATGTCCTAGTGAGGAGCCTGGAGACCTGGGTTCCCAATCTAGCTCTGCCACTAGCTTGCTGTGTGACCACGGGCAAGGCTTTCTCTTCTCTTCACTAGGGTTTAGCTTCCCAACTGATGAAAGTGCACTAGGCCAGTGGCTTTCCAACCTTTTCTTAGACAAAGTACTCTTTCTTCAAATCATCATAAACAGAAGCCCAATATATAAAATATATAAATGCAAACCAGCACCCTCTACCTCATTTCCTCTGGGTTCTTTGCATACTCACTCCTAGAACTCTGGGGTATGGCACATCGTTAGAAAACCGCCACCAGGGTTTCCTCTTGCTCTGTCCAGGACTTCATAACCTAACACTGTTTTTCCTACTACTGACTGATTAGAGCAATCCCAGTACACCGCTACTGCCATGCATTTTGATCTGTAAGGAACTGTAAGATTGCCTCCTGTCTCTCAGAGTACAGGGTAGTAGACAATAGCTCAGAGATGGAGTCAGAAAGGTCCTGTCTGTCTTGGCTCTGCCTGTGATACAATAGCTGTGTGACTCAGGATACACAACTAAATTTTTCCAGTCCCCCCTCCCCCACACTTTCCTCCTCTCTACAATTGGGATGGTAGGATCTTTCTCATAGGATAATGAGAATATTAAGTGAGAATACATGTTAGGTTCAGAGCCTGGCACAAACTACTTAAGTACTTTACAAAGGTAGGATTAGTGTGAAGTACAGAAGAATCTGAACACATGGAATATGCCCCCTTGCCTCTATCCCCAGGCCCCCGAGTGTGAACTCTGAGCCTGGGGCTCCCCTGAGGACCAGGGAGCACTGTCTGTGGCCCATCCTAAAATGGACAGAGAGAAGCCTGGTACACTCTTCACTACACTGACCCATACAGGGACAGAAAAGACAGAAGTGTTCCTGGCTAGTTCCACTGGAGCTCTAGGTTCTCTGTTCTCTCATCGTCCTGGTCCTGGTGTGGGGAGGACCTGGGCAGAGAATTATTGTAATGAAGACTTTTGGGTCCAACCGGAGAGAGTTCCATACTTTAAGGCAAACAAACCCCATCATTTCTTCTGTGTCCCTTTCCAGCTCTGCTCCCTAAGTTAATCTTAAACTTAACGACAGCTAACAGTGGTAATGACTCTTCCCCACAAAGGCTTCTTATGCATCACCCCATCCCTTCCAAAAGAACATGCAGAAGGCCCTGGCTAGGTAGCTCAGTTGGTTAGAGCATTGTCCCGACATGCCAAAGTTGTGGGTTCGATTCCCCGGTCAGGGCACAAGCAATAGTCAACCAATGAGCGCGACAAGTGGAACAACAAATTGTAGTCTCTCTCTCCCCACCTTCCTCCCTCTCTCTAAAATCAATAAGTAAAATTAAAAAAAAAAAAAAAAAAAAAAAAAAGCCATGTAGGAGAATATAGTAACATTTTAGGGATGACTGCACAGCAGAAAATGACTTTTTCAATTTCTCTCCCTCTACTCTCCTGGCCACAGTTTATGGGTCCTGGGATATAAATCTGATCTAAAGTGGCTAATGCAAAGATTTGGTTCATTCTGGGCTGTTCTCATGAAGCAGGGAAAGCAGGTCTGCAGGGTGAAGGAAGTGGACAAAGAAGCTCTACCTAATGGATCTCAATCCTGGTTTCAGTTTTGCTTGAGGTTGTCCTTGAATTTTGTGAAATACCTCTAGATCCTCAAATAAATGCTCCCTTTGAAAACAACAACAACAACATTTGCCACTGTAGAGATCTAACATCAAAAGGGTACAAAATTCCTTAAATAAGCCTCAGATAAGAGAGTTGAGGGTTAGGGTAAGGCTGGAGGTGCTGAAAGAACACACTTTCCCCTCTGACAGCATCTTACTGTTCTTCCAGCAAGCAGCTGAATTTCTGTCGAGCCAAATCCATTAGCCCCTCTACTTCTCTCTCGGAGCGTTTGAAGTTCTCAATGCTGAACGCGTACACCGTCACCTCTCGGATGCCCAGGTTCAAACACCAGTGCAGAGTCTGAGAAGGGAAAAGAAAAGGAGCTTGGGTACAAGGAAGAGTGGGAAGGGAAATATGAGATGCCTCGGCCCCAACTTAATGCTGCGAAAAGCTAGGATAACACTATTGCTTCTGTCAGAATAACAAACCAAAAATGCAGGAAAGCTACCACTTGAGAAACTGAAAAATGAGAACTTAATGAGTACCACTTGCTGATGCCACTGTGGTCTGCTGGAAAGAACTCTTCACCGAGAGTAAAAAGCTAGGTTCTAGTCCTTGGTACCATCATGCACTCGCTATGTGACCATAGGCAAATCATTTGTCCTCTCTAGGCCTAAGTCTCTTTATCTGTAAAAAAGAGATCACAATCCATCCCTCACAAGGTGGCTAAAGAACAATATAAACACACAAGGCATTATTATTCACAGCATAACTTCATTATTCTGGTAGACTGAGAGGCTGATGGGTTATAAGAATAAAATCAATAATTGCATAGCTGTGCAGCATTTGAGTCTGCAAAGGGTTTTCACATACGCTATTTCAACTGATTCTTCAAACAACTGCTTGAGACTGGCATTATTGTTTTCATACCTACTTTAGAGATGATAAAACTGAAACTAAGAGAGTTGAAGAAATATGCCAAAAGTCTACAATGAATCCATCATATGAAGTTCCAGTACAAGAAAAACTAATCTATGGCGATAGCCCTTCAGCTTTGTTCCTTCAGTTCTGTTTGAATGTCTTCTGCCCCCTTCCTTTAACCCCCAGGCTCCTTGTGTTAACACTAATCCCTTCGCAGACATATATACAAATCAGTTCATTGCCACTTTAGGGAGACTACAAGTGCGAACCTCACACTTGAATAGGCTCAAGGTTATAGACCTTACAGGCTCTTGGCTGGGACAAGAGTTGGAACCCACCACTGACCTCAGTCAAAACAAATGTCAATAACAACATCTTCAATGTTTTGAGCACTTTCTTTTTGTCAGGTCCTATGGCACATGCTTTTCATTGTGCTGTCTTGTTTAATTTTCACATCGTTTCCTGAGGTAGAGATTATTGCTATCCTTCTTTTACAGATGAATAAACTAATAAACTAGGGTAAGACAAAGGGAAGCTACATAACTCACTGCAGGTCACAGAGCCAGGAAGTGGCAGAGCAGGGGTTCCAATGAGTTCTGAGTGACTCCAGAGCTTAAGCTACTAAGCACCATACAAAAGTGCCTCTTAATTAGTCACAAAAGAGGTGCTGGGGTCAACAAATGTAAAGACTTCTACATAGAATAAAAAGAACCCTACCACCACTTGCTCAAGGTAAAAAATATCACTGCTCTAGCATCAGGCCATGGTCCTGTGCCAGGAAGCTATAGGGCCACAGTTCTATTCTTCCTCAAGTTAGTTTCAGCCCTGGCTGGGTAGCCCAGTTGATTAGAATGCCATCCTGATATGACAAGGTTGCAAGTTCAATCTCCAATCAGGACACCTAGAAGGATCAACCAATGAATGCATTAAGTGGAACAACAAATCGATGTTTCTCTTTCTCCCTCCAAAATAAATAAGTTTTAAAATAATAAATAAATAAATAAATAAATAAAGTTAATTTTACAAAGGCTGCCATAGGTATTCCGTTCTTACTGCTGGACTTAATGTTTTCCAGCCTGCAATATATATTAAAAACCATAAAATGGTGAGCCGCTCTCTCTGTGGAGTAGCCCACTCTTTCTCACTGCTTCCTTAATAGCCTCTTTCATTCTAAACTCTAAAACAAAAGAATAAAAAACCCTTAATACATTTGTAATCTTTTCTTAGAGTGATGTCTCTGTCTGTCTGGCACTTTTCCCAGTTTAAGCACTGAAAGACCTGTGTCCTGACAAACCCTCAGACTCAGGCAAACTAGTAAAGGTAGCCATCTTACCTTTGCTCCAGAAATGTCATTTCTTAGAATTTATCATGTCTAATAATAATGGAGCAGCTAAACAAATTATGTCAAATCTTTATGATCATAAAATGTTCTACAGTCATTAAAACATATAGTCAGAAGGCTATATATCAATCTAGAAAAATACTTCACAAAATGTCAAGTAAAAATAAGGTTATTGAAGCTATAGATGTAATTTTATAAATGTTAAGTAATGTTACAACATATTACAAGGTTGCGATGGAGCACAGAAAAAATTTTAACTGCTGACTCGTTAAAGGTGGTAAGAGAAGGCAATTTTGATCTTATTTTTAATATTTTGTGATGAATCACTGGCTGATTTAATGTTTTGTTAATATTGACGTAAGACCAATAGCTAGCAATAAAATAAACAGCTAGAGCCCTGGCCAGGTGGCTCAGTTGTTTGGAGCATTGTCCTGTATACCAAAAGGTTGCAAGTTCAACTCCCAGTCAGGGCATATACCTAGGCTGCGGGTTCAGTCCGCAGTTGGGGTGCATTCAGGGGGCAACCAATCAATGTTTTTCTCTCACATTGATACTTCTCTCTCTTTCTCCCTTCAAAAACCAATAAACACATCCTTGGGTGAGGATTAGTTTTAAAAAACACTCTCAAAACACAGCAAACTCAGGTTTCCTAGCTATAACCCAATTTTACACAGAGAGTTCACTTTGGGTTCTGCCACCAACACCCACCTCCGCCAGCTTGTTGAAGCCCTGTGAGTGGCCCTCCTGCCGCTCCACTTGGCACTTCTTAGCATAGCGACGGTTCCCATCCATGATAAATGCAATGTGTTTGGGTATTGGGCCTGCCTGTGAAGTAAGAAGACAAATGATGAGCACATCACACCCTCTTCAAAGATAAAGGGAGACATTACACCCCAAGCTAATACCTTGAGTTAGATGATAAAAGGCTCAAGGAAGGGAATTGGGTATTTTGTACTTTTAGCTTTATAAATGAGTATTAAGTGACTTTGCTTATTTTTATTTATATGTTTATTAAGCACTTATTCATGCCAAGCACTATTCTAGGTTTTTTATACCTCACTGTAGTCTTTTTATCATATGAATCTATACAGTATATAGTATTATCTTCATTTTATAGGCAAAAAAACTGAGGCTGAGAGGACAAGTGACTCACACAAGTCGCACAGCTAACAGGCAAAGTGGGGGTCTAAACTAAGGTCTGTGAGCAATCAGAGTGCATCTTTTAACCATATGTTATTAACCCCCACTTTGGTTTCATTAGTGTCCAACTGGAAGGCCCAGGAAGGAAACTGGCAGTGTGGTTGAATGGAGAGGGCCCCCTCCACATAAAAGAGGCATTCACTCCTCGGCTCTATCCGACTGCTGACACATGGAAGCGGGGCCTAATGTTGCTGGATCTTCTAATTTTACAAGAGATGCCATACATCAGATTTTTATAAAAATGTAAATGCCAGAAGCCTTTTCAAAGCAAACAAAAGACATTTTGGGGGCCAAACAAAACTTGTTATCTAGCATAGGGCAGCTTTTTGTTTTCTGCCACAGCAAAAATTTACCCCAGGGCCTACTTTCCTCGCTGGAGGGGCTCTTCACGGACTCCTTCCCCCGCACCTGCCAATCATTTCCTACTTTTGTTTCCACATGCAGCCTTTAAAAAAAATAATTCCAAGTAGGTCATGCAACTTGTTCTTTGCAACACATGACTGCAGTGGTTGCCTGAGGAGGTATTTCCATATCTTGGCCTGCATAAGTAACCTTGACATTTGTGTGTTAGTGTGTAAGAGGGGATAAGTCTTACTGACTCACAAATGTTACTCACTACTTGACAGTCTGTGGCTGAAAAACAAACCCAAGCTGACTGGCTTCAATCTCAAATCCATCATATGCAGAGGATATAACATTGTCGTGAATCTTAGAGAAAAAGATGAGGGAAGATTTGGGAAAGCAAGGGAGAAGTACATATAATAGAGTGACTGTAGTCTTCAAATGGCTAAAAAGACAACCGCAGAAATAGTAGTAATTAAGAACTGCTAAAGGAGCATGCCCGCTGCTTTCCCGTCCTCCTCGTCTTCCCCCAAGCATGTTACCTTTTTTATTCTCTCTCCAAAGCTCCAAGGGACCCTTCTTTTGCCTCCTAACTTGTTTCCTGAGCCCATTTCTTCTAACACTCACTTCTTCTACTTCTGTGACTTTCTTCTAAATAAACTTTCTCTTACAGTTTGGGGGGGGGGGAACACAACTCCTAGACACTGAACTAAATGCTTTCTATGTATGTTTCATTCAATCCTCATACAACTATGTTAAGTCACAGGATTAATAATGAGAAAACAGGACTTTTGTTCATGTTTGTCTGTTCCCAAAGCCCAAACTCAGCCTTTATGCTCTGTCACATCGAAGACAGATTAATTAATTTATCTAACTCCAGAGGATAGCACTAGGAATTATAGTCCAAAGTTTCAGGGAAATAAATTTCAGTTCTCCATAAAGAAAACCTAACAGTCTGTGCTGCTCAATGATATTAGGAGGTCCTGGGCTTCCTGAATACGTGAGTTAGGACAATAACCTGTCAGGAATGTAGTCGTGGAAGTTACCTTGCATTGTCAAATCCCATTCATCGTGGTGGATTGCTCAATGTGAGTAACAGGTCTTGATACAAGATTACCCAACTGACCAGGTCAGCTGGTGCTGTGAGCTTACCTTTATGATGTTGGCACAGAACCGTTCCCACAGTGACAACTGTCCTTCCTTGATCCATGACATAGCTCTGGTCCAAGCAGAAGATAAACTGGGTAATCTTGGATAAACAATAAAGAGAATCAAAAGTCACCAGGGCCGGCATACAGCTACGGGTGACTTGTAGGGTTTCACCTCGGCTGTGGAGAGCAGCCACCACTAGATTCCAAAGACACTAGTCTAAGCCTCCAATATTCCACCACCAGAGTACATATATAAGTCAACGGGACATTTGGGGCTGAGGCCTTTCCCTGGTTCTCCAGGCTCGGTGGACCTTGTTCCTATTCCCTTTTCCTCGGTATCTGCACTGGCTTTTTCTGAACCTCTAAGTCTGCTTCCAGTCTTATCACAGTGCCTACACACCATCCTTCCCTCTCCATCCTCCCCCAGGCCGTTTCCTACTCTCTGAGCTCCCAGTTACTAACCCCTTCAGTTGTCATCCCCGTTACCTCCTATCTCAGTGGTCTCCCAATTATTTATCCCCTCATTTGTCTGTTCCATTGTCCCCTCTGCCATTCCCCTGGCTGCCTCCCCGTCCTGTCACCTCTCTCCTCTCGTTGACCGCTTCACCACAGAACCCGCTCCGATCCGCCCGGCTCCTTCCAACTGCTGCTTGGGACGGACACTTTCTCAAGACGTGGCGCTGGGAGATTGCGTCATTCTTGGGCGCCGGGACACGCCCCTCCCCGGCCCCTTAATGGGCGTGGCTCTTCCCCAAGCTCGCAGGCTCAGAGGAGCGAGAGCGCGCCTGGCCGCAGTTCGCGCTCCCGGTTTCGGGAAGGGAAGCGCGCTCGCGTGACCGATAGGGTAGGCGCCTGACTGCAAAGCAAGTGCTGAGGAAGGCGGGGTGGAGGCCTTCCAGGGGAGCGGAGAGGTCCTTAAACCCACAGATCGGGAAGCCTCAAGTTAGCTACGCTGCAGGGCAAGAATTCGGGGATCACGTTATAAATGGAAGGGCTTTTCAGCTGCTGGTGGCATTTTAGGTCTGCTGAGAGTGGCCTAAGGCTGTGTCCTGCTTCCTGAAAGGCTGTGGAAGGCCTTGGAACTCTGCTTTAGAGCCCTTGTTACAGGCCTTAGTGCATTTAACCATCTGGTAAATTCCCAGCCGTAGTCAATCGCACAAACGCACTTGATACCAATCCGTTTGTGTTGATAGGAGGCAACAAGATTTTATGATTTGCAGATTTTAGGACCTACGAAAAAGAAAAGCTTTGAAGCCAAAAAAAAAGCTGTACTCTGAGAGTGACTTTCAATGTTAAATAACAGCAGGGCAGGCCATCAATTTACCCTGATAGGAAAAATCAAGGGCATTAGTGCTGTACCAAACCTTTGCAGAAAACTGTTACAGTAATTTGAAGCACTGACAAATTTGGAGTTCAATTTTTTCAAAACTTAAAAATCAGCAAAAAGAAACTTTTACAATTTTCAAAGAACCTTATAGTTTCTCTCACCAAGGAGATACTGCACCAGTAACCCCCAATTCACTCTCTTCCACTTTTTCTTACGAAAGGAGTACTTCTACCAGGAGTTTTCAATGCTGTGGTAATGAGTAACCCTCCCATAGTCTTTTCCATCCTTCCTGCTTTGCATCTGGGAAGCAAGCTTCAGCCTAGTTGGCTTCCATGGTCAGCTTGAAGACTTTTAGTACAAAGTCCCTGGGATGGATGCATGAAACTACTTATCCTCCTTGTTCTGCTAATGTTTCTGTGAACTTTTTGTAGCAGATGGTATGCCTGCAAAGCAAGTTTATTTTTTTCTTTTAAAATTCTCCTTCCCTTAGCAGGGGAGCTAGATGTTTAAAAACCAATATTTATTAGCAGGCAAGCTAATAAGCATTTTTACAATTTGAGTATCTCCTCTGGCCTCAATTTCCCCAGTTCCACATATTTGCCTCCGTGGGGTGCTTCAGGAGGTTAATTAAGATTTGTACAGGGACTGGAAGAGCAGGGGACAAAGTATTATTAGGGTCTCATCCCCCAAGGCATGGCCCCATCCTTTCATCCCAGCCAGTGGCACAGGCAACCCCATTCTTATGCATGCCAAGCTCCTAATCCCCTCTTGAATGTGGCAGCTTCCAAGAAAAGGACAAGAGGCCTTAACTAGAAACAAAAATCCACTGTAATGAGGTGCTAAGAGAACTAACTTTCAAGATTCACTCCCAACAAAATAGCTGAACAGAAAAGTTAATGGTTCTTCTGTGACTTGAGCCCCACTCCAAGTAGATGGGAATTATGGGAGGAGAAAAGCACCCTAAATTTCTAACAAGGAGATGACAGTTTCAGTACGAATAAGACTTTATTCTTTCATTTTATTTTCCCAAGGAAAAGAGAAGGAAAAAGTCAGCATGTGTTTTACAAAATGATAGATAGCAAGTGAAAGTACCCGGCACAGCAAAAATCAACCATCAAATAAATCATCCCCAGTAATGGAGGTCACCAAAGCCCAAGGGGGCTCAGTCTCCTGTAGTTCAGTAATGAGGAAGAATCAGGGAAACAGACAGGTACATGCTTTCCTACCCTCCCTCCCTCATGCCCGATAAATTCAAAATTTCACACAAAGCTTTGGTTTCTAGCAGTAAACATGAGTTACATTCGTCCGTCTCCTATTAAAAAATCTTGTGGCTACTTTGACATAAGTTTTTTGCACCTGCATAAAAGTTCCTGAGTGACTTGGATTACATTCATCTTCCCTTTCTTGGTCTCCCAACCCCACTTTCAAAATGAAAGGCCCCCTCATTGCTTCTCTGTACCCTAGGATCAGAGATTAAAATACAGCAATCTAAGTGTTTGGCATGAATCACATTATCAAGGAACGGTCTGGACTTAGGGTATTGGGAAGAAAGGATGGAATATTCTTAGCTTCTTCAGAATTTTTTCACAAATCATTTAACGAATGGGGTGACACCCCACACATTTACTGTGTATGGGTATTTAGGCTTTTGCAGAGGGGGGAACGGACAGAAGAGGAGATAGGGTAGGAGTGAAGTTTTTGGGACAGGCGATCTGGTCCAAAATAGAAAAGAGGGGAAGAGGAAACAAAGGAAAGGATGATTAAAGACCCCCACTTCAAGAAGAGGGGTCCCCAAGCTTATGTTTCAGATCCTTTTTGCCTGGTGCAGAAGCTTTTGTCAAAGATGCTTTGGCTATTTTTCTCAATACAAAAAGAAGTTTGTAAACAAATAAAACCCCAAAAGAACACGGAGAAAGACCAACACATTTACACAAACTAGGCCACCTAGCAATCACCAAATCAGCTACTGTGAAGCCCTACAAAGCCCAGACAAATACAATAACTAGCGGGGGCTGCAACTGGGGGAGACAAGAACCCAGGATCAGACACACATAACCCAATGCATTCTATTGCATTTGCCCCGTTTCAACACAGTGAGGTAGGTTTTCGGTGATCTCACAGCAAGTAAATGAAACCCGCTTTTCTCCTTCAACTATGACACTAGTTGCTGCTGCTGCAGCAGGGCGGGACACTGGCTCTGGGCATTACAAAGCCATCCCTCAGGGTCTCTCTGGAGGCCAAGAGGAAAAGCAAAGAATTTTTAAAGATTAAGGAATTTAGTCATTGCTTCATATATCCATCCCTGGACAGTTCAAAGTGGGTAGAGAGGTATTGTTTTTAAAACCTATCTTTATCAACCTTTTTTTTTTTAAACTCACATATACACACACACACCACTTGTTGTACATGGTAAGCCTAGCCCAATCTAGTGAGGGATGGATCTGGTATGTAATGAGCCCCAGACCCTGGAATTAGAGGTCTGGAACAGAAATCCTTGGTTATACATATAGACAACTCTCACATAATCTTGGCTTCCCCTCTGTGCCGTTCACGTAGCCCAGCCTCTCCTAACCTTGGCACCAACCACTTATTCCTATTCAAACCAATTTGCAATCTTCCAGTAGAAGGAGATCAAGTAATGGGGCCACCCAGTTAAAATCTAGTCTTCCACAAAACATTGAAGATGGAGGGTTTCAAGAGGACACTATGGCAGAAAACCCAGCTCTAATTGGCAAAAATGAGGTAGTTCAATAGGCTATACACTCCAAATAGTTGTTTTCCCTGATGATAAAGACAACAAAAAGTATTCCTGCTGTGCAGACCCGGAGCTGCTGCCCACTTATCCCTGAGATTGCTCATGTACCTGAGAACACAGTGCAGGAATGAGGGCCTTAGATTAAAATACACAAAAATACAAAACCAGAATATTTATATTACGAAAAAAAAGTTAAAATGCACAAGATACGTCATTCGCACACAGCTAGTGCAGTTGGCATCCTGGAGAAAGTGGGACCCAAGGTGCAGTTACCCAAGGGACCAAATAAAATTGTATTGGCCCAGAAGTGGGGTGGGAGTGAGCTTAGGAGCAGCAGGTCTGCTGCTGGTTCTCCAACCATCCCTTTTGCCTATAGTGACAATCCATTGCTTGGGGCAATTCTCAGCACCCTAACCCAAGAGTAGGGGATGAGGAAAAACCCTGCTGTACCCCTGAGAAATTCCCTCCCATAGAATGTAGTCGTTTGTGGGCTGGGTTCACCAATCTGGTCTCATGCTAATCTTTTCACTCTGGCAGGGGAAATATTATCATGACATATCTTTCTTTAAAAGGAAAACAACTTTCCTATCCAGGTCACTTTCAAAAGCTGGAGGAGACTCAAAGCAAGCAGGGAGGGATTTCCCCCAAAGCCCTCACATACATTTCGATAGAGTGTGGTTGGAGTTCCTTTGCCTCCCCCGCCCCCCCACCAAGAAGGAAGAGGGGGTGACGCTGTGGAACCTGGCCTGAGATACATGGCAGTGCCAGCTGCCCCTTACCCACCCTGTTCCCACTTTCTCCATTCTGCCGATTGATGCCTGCTCCTTGAAACTTCCTGATCACATAAGGATAGCCCCTGACCCATTGTAACTCAATTCTGGGCATCTGGGAGCAGGGCAGGGCTATGGATCTCTTCTTCTTCATCCCGAAAGTAGGCTGGCTTTCCCTGTGAGCTGGGGGCCTGCTGGGCCTTCAGTGGACATGAGGCCACCATATGGCTGATGCTCTGGCAGAAGTGGCACTTCTTGGGCTGGGGTGGCAGCTTGCATTCCTTGGCATGATGGTCTAGACCTCCACAGTTGTAGCACCTGGTACAAAGCAGGATGGTAAAGTTGAGAAAGGAGTGAGGCGATCAGAAACTTTTTTTCTGAGGACACTTGGGCTCTTTCCTTCCCGGAGACCAATTTTCCCACTTATAAAAAGGAGATATGTGACTAGGTATCTTGAAGTCCTTTCCAAACCTGTAATTGTCTAGATGATTTTCAGATTCACGTCACCTTGAAAATACTGAAATACTAAGGACAGAAACCATGGACCCCAAGTCAGTATTATGATTTGGGGGATAGGTAAAACTCTACCATACCCTTAAGAAAACTGTACCTGCCTTGGCTGGCGTGGTTTAGAGGATTGAGCATCGATCTGCAAACCAAAAGGTCACTGGTTCAGTTCCTGATCAGGGCACATGCCCGGGTTTCAGGCTAGGTCCCCGGTTGGGGGCGTGGGAGAGGCAACCAATCGATGTCTCTTTCACACATTGATGTTTCTCTCTCCCTCTCTCCCTTCCTCCCTCCCCCTCTCTCTAAAAATAAATGAAATAAAATATTTT